GTGGCATATAAATTGGGCAGGATTCGCTCGAAAAAAGGTCTAGAGGCTCTAATTAACCTAAGTTTTTCCTAGAGGAACAGGAGGATCTCTAAATAACAGGGAAACAGGCAGACCCTTGTTCAGGTCAGTCAGCTCGACTCAAATAATATTATTGTCTGACTGACCCATCGAGTCTCCAGGTCGCGTTTTCGACCAGAATAACCAGTACAAATGCACTTCACGTGGCGAGATGTTGTCCAGAAGGACAGCACTTTCTGCCATTAATGGCGGTCTGCACAAAGTGCAGAATGCCATTTCCGCCACGGGAAGTAGGCCGAATTATAGTCCTGTCTTTCGACAGCGGAGAGGGTCCACCCGAAAATGTCTTTAAGACACAATCTTGCAAAGGTGGCCGGAAATTGTGTGCATGTGCGTCCTTGAACAAACAGATTCGAAGATATTGTGCAGTTGCCGTGGTAGCATGACAGAACAAACATACGACAGGCTATGAGTTTGCAGGAAGGATCCACATACACACAAATAGGGGACTGGTATTATACAGACTATACAGCAAGGAAGGATAATGTTTGAGTTTTAAAGGCAGATATTAAACAAAATTTTCAATGTTTGGTACTTGCAGTTAGTTTTTATGGAACGGAAGTTAAGACGTCCTTTGGAGTTCTAATGTATCTCTCGTGACAGTCTGAAGACCAACGTCCTAGCGTTTTGATGAGCCAAGAGGGTAGGCCGGCTGAGTCCGCAGCTGTAGCAGCTCCGATCCTGAAACTATGAGAGGCGTAGAGTTTTTCGGCTAGTCCTTGCCCTTGAAGTAGATGACGTAGGTGCGATGTTAGGGTTACACGTGTAAGTGAGACACCTGATGTAAATTGGAACAGTGGACGAGTTGTTTGGCCAGACGATGACTGGAGTAGATATGTTTTCATAGCTCGAACCTGGCAGAGTTATTTGGAAGCCGGTACCCCCAATCACTGGATGCTTTCTACGCCCCTTAGCTTGATTCACGACAAAATCATTTTCATCGAAAACGCACGCGCTGGGTGGTTCAATTAAATGACGTAGCTTGTCCATCCGTGAGCGACAATTGGTTTCGCTTCCAGCTCATGGGAGGTCTTGGTATTCCGATCTTTAACGACATCTGTGATGAAGAGCATTTGAACTCCACCACCATCTGTCATCTTCTCTCGAGTAGAATCATCCACGAGAATGGTACACCATCAGCAGAACATGGAGATTCCATCAACGATCTTCGCCGTGAGATTGCAAAACAACGTCAAGCTAGGAACTCGTTGCTGCTACAGAACTTGAGATCGAGCATGAGTGAAGAGCAGATTCGAGCAAATGACCTCGCCCAGTTGAAAGGATCCTCAGCTTGGCTAACTGCTCTGCCACTTGCTGATGAGGGCTACATCTTGACCAAGCGTGAGTTCTTTGATGCAATCTACATGCGTTATCGATGGCCTTTGAAACGCCTTCCATCTTTCTGCGCTTGTGGAAAATCGTTCACGGTAGATCATGCCCTGTCGTGCCTGAAAGGAGGTTTTATCCATCGAAGACATAATGAGATCCGTGATCTACTTGCTGCTGCTATCGATGACGTTGCTTACGATGTTTCAATTGAACCTGCTCTTGCTCCTTTGACTGGCGAGGTTCTTCCATCCAGTGCTAACTCAACCGATGACGCCAGAGTGGACATTGCTGCGAGAGGTTTTCTGGCAGAGATGTGAAAAGGCATTTTTTGATGTAAGGGTGTTTAACCCATACGCCTCCACACATCGACGCCAGACGTTGAGCAGCTCGTTTAAAGCCAACGAACGGGAAAAGAAGCGACATTACAACCAACGGATTGTTGAGGTCGAGCATGGCTCCTTCACACCGGTCGTCTTCAGCGCCTTTGGCGGATGCGGAAGAGAGACCCAACATTTTCTCTCCTTCCTGGGTGCGAAACTGGCTGACAAGAAGAATCATTCTCCATCTATGGTGGTTAGCTGGTTACGACGAAAGATCGCCTTTGCTTTGCTTAGAGCTCGCGTGGTGTGTGTTCGTGGCAGTCGAAGTTGGAGGACTGCGTCCATCACATCAACTAATGACATTACGTTGTCGGAATGGAACTCCAACATTAGCGAGTAGTCTAGTTAAGTTGTTTTTGTAAATAGTCTGTAGAACTATTATACTTAGTTTTAATGCATGATTGATTATTGTAAATTTCCCTAGTATTAAATGACGTAAAATTCATTCAATTGTTGTCAATTAAATGATCGTTTCGTGCGGATAGGTTTGCAAAAATTTTACGCGCGAAATATAATTTCACAGAGCGATAAAAAGCGGTTAATTGAAAAGTATGTTTTCTCTTTCCTCATTATCCAAACCCTTCGATGATTTGACATTACGATGAGCCAATTGTTAAACGACATCCACGACGAAAAGGGTCGGTTTTGGAACGCTTGATCAAGACATCATAATATTCCGCGTGGAGGATATTTGGGTGGAAAATAATGTCATTGCGGGATGATAGGTGGCACTCGGGATCAAATGGAGAATTACACGTGTACAGCGCAGGAAACGAAAAAAGGCCAGAGTGAAGGCGGCCCAAAGCATCACATTGTCTAAACAGTCTGTAAACTGAGGACGTAGGTCAGAATGAAGACACTAGAGTTCGGTCACAGTGATAGGCCGTCGATCCCGCAATTTTTCACCCTTGAGGCGCTTCAGACCTTTCAGACTTTTCTCTAATAATTGCATGCTCCCCATGTCGAATGGGATTTGAAAAATTACGTGGAGGTAAGACACGCTAGCTAAGTATGTTTTAACAGTTGAATATGAAACAGATTTGGATAGATGATCGACGAAGTAGAGCAGGGTAAGTTCAGTCGCAGGCAGTAAAGGTGAACAAGGTGTCACGATACCTTTGGCAAGGCAGAATGAAATGAATTGTTTTACGCCAGCGGCGTATGTTTCTTTAGTTGACGGTGCCCCTGAATGCTGAATAAGTTCATAAACACGGTTCTTTAAGTTTGGATCATGGATACTGGGATGACGCAGGGCAGAGGAGAGGCCAGTGGCGCTAATTGTTTGAAGCGGTCCATCTGAAAACGAGAGAGCGAGTCAGCAATGCCATTGTCAAATCCGCGTACAATGCCTGGCCGTAAAGTAAAGTTGTTTTTCAAAGTACAAAGAACAATCGGTCGGAGTAAATCGATTATCTTCGGACATTCTGATTGAGAACTTGGACAACGGACTCGTTGTCACAGAAAAACACAATGCGTTTTGTTGCCCAAAAACAAATAATATAAATGTAAATACACTGAATTAAAAAAATTTAAAATGGTTAGTCGATCATTATCGCCTTGACCTCTATACGAACTTGCAGCTCTAATCGATAAGCGAAACCTTCCTCGCTAAATAAATCAAGCTTAGACTACGTGTAGTTGAGAAACACGCGCTGGTAATCCTCAACCTCTGAGGCAACAAATACCTGTAATTTAAACTAGGGTTTGATTTTCATCTGCAAGGAATTAGTTGCTTTTTGAATATTTCACGCAACAACTTTGCATCAAATGTGGTTCATAATCACAACTACGTAAAATAGACAATAAATACTTCCTGGCATCACTGCTACTTTCCTGATCAAAACGTTGAGAAGCTCTCTAACTTTGATAAAATTGTTGTCTTTGCTTTCATGGTATTTGGATTTGAAACATGAAAAGCAATTCTTGAAATTATTGGGTTGCTTGGCGGCTCTACTCAGTTTGTGATTTAATGCGCAGGAGAAAAAAATGTTGTTTGTATATCATATATAAGTTGAACAAATATTTCCGGGACAATCAGCAATACTAACAATTAACAAAGGTAATCTTAATACTAAGACTAATTAATCCTGAAACACGGAACACTAACTCACCCCCCGTAAGGTTGAAAATGTCAGGAAAACTGAGGAATTTCCTATGCACGCCAAGGAATACTTGAATTGTTTCACAGACAGTCACGTGATTTTTGTGGTGAAAAATCAAAACTCGCTCATCCAAACACTGGAATATCTTTGTGATAAAAATACCAAATAAATCCTGATATTTCTTCTGGTAAAATCATCGTTTAACAGATTTCTGATATCAGATCTGTTGTACTTGGAATAAAAAAGTATTACTTTGTTTTGATTGTTTTTAAAGTGTATATTTATTTACAGTGCAATTTGGTATTAAATTTTATGGCAATGTAAAATAAATATACTAATGAAAATATATTTCGAAATAACTTGGAATGCAGTTGACCTGAAGTTTGGACTTTCATAGCCACTTTAGGACTTGCGGAATCCGCTTCCGGAGTCCGCGTTTTATCCCCATATGCGGAATCCGCTTTCGGAATCTGCGTTTTATCCCCATTGTGACTCCATATCGGAAAACACATGCCTTTTTCGTGTTAAAAAATAAAACATGGTATGATTTTTACCGTGTAAATCATTGCGTAAATTCGATTGAATAGAAATAGATTTTTCTAATATAATCACTGAATATAATCACAAAATTTCCTTTCATTAAGATGTTCTCGCGCTTACCACGAACACGCAATAAACACGCACTTAGACCCAGACCTCTCACGGCCACCACCTGTCGTCGTGGGGATTTTATCCCAAGATCTTGGGATTTTTTAGAATAGAGACAAGATAATGTTTTAATAATGATAGTTGTAATACTGATTAATCTGCCTGCTCGGTATAACTGTTATTCACTAAATATTTTAATATACCATACAGAGTATACAGCAGTTAAGTGCTGAGATCAGTGAGAAGGTTTCTTCCTATCGTTTATACAAGACCAAGTATTTCGCCAGGCTTCGGTTAACGCGCATGGCTGAACACTTCGCCTGATGAGGGGACCTGGGAACTAATGAAAAAAATCTTGGGATTTTTTTGGGGGGAAATAGGGAATCTTGGGATTTTTTGGGAGCTATATTGGGATTTTTAGGAAAACTGACTTGGCAAGTGGCAACACTGGTCGTCCATCTCCTTTAGCAACAACTCCAAACACTGGAATATCTTTGTGATAAAAATACCAAATAAATCCTGATATTTCTTCTGGTAAAATCATCGTTTAATAGATTTCTGATATCAGATCTGTTGTACTTGGAATAAAAAGGTATTACTTTGTTTTGATTGTTTTTATAGTGTATATTTATTCGAAGTGGCTAGACAGCCGGCAGCCGGCTGTATAGTTTTTACTTGTCAAGCCTAAATAACCGGCAGCCGGCCATATTGTTGCTTGAAGTCAGCTTGAAATACTAAACGGCCGGCAGTATTCTTCGTTTGCGATGGCGTAATTTCGGGATTTCAGTTGGTGTGCAAGTATGAAGAAATATATTTTTGTAAGGCTTCTAGTCAATATCGTTGCTGGAACCAAAAATTATGTAGTGCCAGGTTTGGTTAATATTAAAGTATGTATATAGACTGTATAGACGGGTTGCAATGTTTGTGTTGGAGGCGGAGTACTTATTATTAAACTACAAAAATTAATGATTGGTCGCTTGATGTTGTTAAATCTATGTTAGTGAAAATGATTTATTGATTTCTCTTCTGCCTCCAGTGCAATCTAAACAAATTACGTCACGAGAAATCCATCTTTACATCAAAATGTGTAAATATGATTTTAGTTATCAAAATATTATTATTAAGTATAAGTGTTCATTGTCTTATATACCAAAGTCTAGTAATTAGTGACCAGTTTTATACGTGCTTAGCTTTGCATTTGCTGCAAAACCAATTCCTTGTCTTGGGTGGTCTTTTCAGTGAAGTACATTTAATATGATACCAACACAGGCACCTTTCACATGCTACACTTTCATCTTTGCTGCTGATTGTGGTTGAACATCCAGGACATATCCACTTTGTCTTGTTCTTTTTTTCACTGACATTAAGAACAACTTTCCATGCATTGGCAACAAAATATTTCTCAATCCTATTCAAATCGACATTCTCTTTGTCACGAATCATGTCTGGAAGCTTAAGAGGATTTGTTTCGACTTCTTCTGGTGGTATTAAATCACCACTTTGGATTGCGTTGTTAGCAACTGAACAACGGACAAAGCACTCTAAAGAATCCTGTCCTTTTCTACTGCTTTCACCTTGCAAAATGGCAGCAACCCTTTCTTTGCTTTCTTTACTTTGGGTAGCCCAATGACAGTTAATTCCGCTCCTTTGGGCCTTCCTCTCTTGAGCATTTTCGGTGGCATTTTTATGTTTTTAAGCTCTTTCTGCTTGCAATCATTTTCTTTGCTCTTTACTTGTGAAGATGTACCAGCAGTCTTAGACTTATCAGCGAGGATGGTGGGAGAAGTTTTGGCAACGTTACCTGGAACATTTGATTTGTTTTTGTTTCTACTGGCCTTCTTTTGATCACGGGGAATGGGACCAAAATCTCTTTTATCATAGGGTATGTCATGATCTTTGTTACGAAAATGTTCGTTTTGGGTTTTGGTGGGCTTTTCTTCATCAATATTTGTTGTGTCTTCAGTGTTGCTGCATCTTCCCAAGACTGTCTTGTGCTTGCCAAAGTTGAGAATTTGTTGCAGATCAGCCATTCTACTGTCAAATGTCTTCATTCCGCCTTCACTTGCCAGTGAAGCCAGGGTTCGTGCCACATTCATTGCCTTGTGGAATTTCTGGGCTTGCGTCAAAGTGGTAGATTTCTCTTTACTTTCATGAAGGACATCGACGTTGCTGATGCCGCATGTGGTTGGCACATTGGCTGCCTCAGAAGCTTTATTATAGTATTCAACGGTCCATCTGGCAGAGAGGAGGGAAGGATCAAATCGAGATAACTTAAGCGCAGTTCTGGCTTTAAGGATGTGTCTACATGGAAGTCCCATTTTCACAGGATACGTGCATTGGCAAGTGTTACCTGACACTGTTACTTCACCATAGGTACAACTCTTTATTAAAACTTTGTTCTCGGACAAAACCTGTTGTACGGTTAAACGTTTGGCAAGTTCAACTTGACGCTTAAGGTGTTTGAAAGCGTATGGTGTTAGAACTTCAGCATATGTGCGGATGTCCTCCTCACACGATTCAATTGATATGGGCTTGCGTAATGTTGCCATAATTTTCTGGTGTGTCCTTTCATTCCGCAATGTTCCAAGGAGTGCAAACATTTCTGTAAAAAATTGTAAAAGTGTTGCATAGCGAGAGCAAACACTTTTAATCTTCGCATTAGCACTCTCTAAACGATTGTTGGTTGTTTCACCAAGGTTAAAAGTTGAATCCTTAAAACAAGAAACCCATTGCTCTTTTATAGGGTGCCAATTGTCAAAGAAATAGTTTCTTACAGCTTTTGATTTGGTTTCCTTTAACAGAATTTACGTTTTCTTCATAGGCTTCTTCTGTTTTGGAATAAATTATTGCGGTTAATATCTCAAGAACTCTGTCCCGTTCACCTGACGTTATCCCCATTTTCTCAACTGTTATCTCCCTTCTGAAAGTTCGAAGTGTATGATAAAGGCATATAAGTAGGGATGCGCTGGGAAAGCATTTGGCGAAGGCTTGACGTTCTGTGAAATCCTTGTCGGACATGATTACTGTAGTCCTTATCCAAGCTGGATTGTGCCTTTTAAATGCTTCCATGGCTGCTGTTATGACAGTTTCACTCTCTTCAGCAACGATTAGAAGGGCGACAATATCACTAAGGCCATTTCCATCCACTACCATCAGCACATAGAGTGGCATTCTCAAATCAAGAAGTTTGTAAGTAGCATCCACAAGCAGGAGCTCAGGAAACCTGTCGTACGCATGTTTCATGTACTGGTCTTGAAAGAAAAGAGACTTAAAATTGCTGTCTTCGTCCGTTGCTACTTCTACAACTGCGCCTTCTTTTGTCTTCAGATAATCCACGACGACGTCAAGGTCATTGCTATTTATTTTCGACTTGGTTTTGGTTTTCAAGTTTGAAATATCCTTTAATGTTACTCGCTGTCCTGTCGTGGTTTGTATTTTCTGTTGCAGCAGTTTGTTGTTAGCTTTTAGGCGCACTGCACCTTGGATTTCCTCTTTCAGTGCACCAGTGAGCTTTCGCTGACGAGGTAGATGTTTGTACAGTTCTTCTGACAGAGAATGGTTGTGATCCATGGTCATTTTCATAACTTCTAACGCTTTTCCGTCCGTGGACAAAACAATATAAACTTCGAACTGACATCCTTGTTTAAAGGTTTTAGTATCACGCTTTCTGTCGTCTCTATTCTCTGCTTTTCTTCCTCCAAATTTGCAGCTTAATTTCAGGGAGTAGTACTGGAGGCTCAACTCAGCATTTGCTACTCGTTTGGGGACTCGCTTCTGTGCAGATACAAGGGTTCTGACATCTCGTTTCCACAGCTCGCAAAAGTGAATATCCTCATATTTGGCTTTGGCCTCATTAAAGTCATTTACAGTATAGAACTTTCTACCAACGTAAAATATGTCATTACTAGCATCTTGATCTACTTCTTCTTTAATCGAGAGGATGTCACCTGTTTCACTTAAGGGGGAGGATTTAACTACATCATCTGGCAACACTATCGCAGTCTGTTCTGGTGATGTTACAGATGGTCGCTCTAATGCGCTAAATGTGAAAGACATATGAAAATAGTTAAAGTATTGAATTCAATGATTGCACACTAAACATCTCAGGAGAGGATAGAATGGATTATGATGAATAACATGCTTAGAAAACTTTAATACTTGAGTGGTAGCAGGCAACATGGCAACATTGTGACGACTAATCAACTGTACACTACACTACTGTATAAATTATACTGTGACAAAACTGGCAGATCATTACCATGCTTTAATTTCTTTGTTTCTTATTTCATTCACCATATCCAATCGAATTTTTGCTATATCTTTCTATAAATGCAAATATGTATAACAGCTATGGTGCTTAATGAATTACTTTACATACTGTTAAATTAATAAGCACATATACTGCACATAATAAACAAACACACAGCAGCTATGCAGGACTATGATGGTTGTGTATACGTAAAAGTTTAGGAGACCAATTACTGCAGGACCAAAACTCAAAACTAAGAAACCGACACATTGCCATCACAGATATACTACACCATGTAACTAACAAACTAAAAATCCAAAGGCAAGGATACAAGGCAAAGGTAGTTAATTAAATGCAATACCTGGTTGAATGAGAATGGCTGTTGAAATACCAAATGCTTCATGTACTAGTTGAAGAAATAGAAAACATTATGGTTAAAAATATTATTGCCCTCAAGCTTGCCCAGCAAATAATATTTGACAAAGGCATATCAAAATTGTATTGAGCAACGTTAAAACGAAACGTTACTTGAATAAAATTTTATTAAATTATTATGCCTCTTTGGAGTATTATTTGCTGGCCAATAATATTTTTTACTAGAATTTATTTTCTGCCTGATGTTTTTATTGCTAAGGGACCGGTCATTAAATATGGTAGGTGGGGGGGGGGGTGGAGGAGAAACCCAACATTTTGACACAAAAAAACCACAAAAGTTGTATACTTTTCAAGACCTCCCCATATTTATCTTATATTTTTGAAGACCCCCCTCTCGATCCTTGGTCCTCTTGAAAATTAGTTTTGTAGTAAACATGCAGTATGGCCAGCCATACTGCATTCTTACTACAAAACTGAATTTAAATTTTCAAGAGGACATCCATCTATTTCTTATAGCTATTTCTTATAGACATTTCTTATAGTTTAAAAAGACATACCAGGTTTAATGATCATAGCATTTTAATACTGATTGCCTATCATAATTGTTTTGCATATTACAGTATACCTACCTGACACAGAAATACTCCACAGTCAATGTAGTTGTCTTGTTTCGGAATATCCTAATAAATTGTGTCAATGAACAAAATAATATTTAATTAACATAAACTGCCTCCGTTTCTAATCACCAGTCAGCAACATTTAATTATAACATAAAGTTAGCCTGCTCACAGCAACCAGGTATCTCTGTCACTTAGAAATTCAAGACCCAATGTTTCATCCAAGTCTAGTGTCGGGGGTTATCTGAAGTAACAACTTTAAGGATCTTTATGAATACAGTGACATCATTGACCAACAAGGTGAAGATACTCTAGCAGCCAATAACAATAGCTACTACCTGCTCTAATCAT